AACAGCCGATACCGCACCGTGACGTCACAAACCAGTAGGTGGCAGTAGTGTTCTTTGACAAACATGGATGCCTCCAGTAAAGCACATTCAGATGAAAATTACTCTTAATTAAAATCACTTATCATTTATTGAACAGGATGTAATAATTTCACGTTTAAAGTACTTTCAGAAGTTTGAATTCTAAATATGACCTTTTCCTTTAAGGGCCAGATTTATGCCCTCTACCCCTGGTTATGTCCATTAGTTCTACATACAAAGGGGAATTGGGACATCACTACCCTCAAAGGAATGCACAAAATTAAGGGATCAGGTTAAAAAGTATTGCTATTGTGTTTGTCTACATAACACACTCAGCTATGTAGGTGTGATTTCGAAAGTCAAAGGGTTAAATAAAAAAACTTCTGTAAGGTTATTACAGAATGCCAGCTGTCTTCCATTAACCTGCCGTTTGTGCTTCAGGGGCTTGTTCATCATCGACCCAAACGGCGTGGTGAAACACATGAGTGTGAACGACCTGCCGGTCGGACGCTGCGTTGAAGAGACCCTGCGTTTGGTGAGGGCGTTCCAGTTCGTCGAGACGCACGGGGAGGTTTGTCCGGCCAGCTGGACCCCGGAGTCTCCAACGGTGAGTATCTGAGAACGCACCAAAAAATGATGCTGTTGCTTCCAGCTTCATCCAAGTTATTATTGGAAAACGCTTCAATTTTTGATTGATTTTCCTCTCATTTGCAAAAACTGGAGTTTTTGGATTATTTAACTGGACCTGAAGGTTAGAGGTGTTTTAATTAGCGGTGTCCTCATATAACTTTTTCCATTTCTGATTGGATATTGACCTAATACAATATCAGCATGACTCGTGTATAGTTTTATTACTTAATTAAGCCTTTTCTATCATCCCACCCTATTAAATAAAACAAGAGATATTTATTATTCTCCAGAGTTAATTAAACTTTCAAGAAAGTCAAGTGTTAGTGAGCTTTCCCATACCATAAATTTTAAAGGGAGAATCAGAATCAGAAATACTTTAATAATCCCAGAGGGAAAATTATGATCTGTTCGGATATACATTTTTTGGCTGATCCCAGACTAATTTCATTTATCAGTATTGTATTGCACATCCCTAGTTTTAATCTTTTTGAAAGCCAAACTTGAGCCCGAAATTTTTTTTTTTTTTTTGTGTCGTCACATGTCTTCAGCATAGGCCCGCCGCCTATAGAAAAACAAACAGAGAAGCTGCAACTGTGTCGTCAACCTAGCGACTTTGTTGCTATATTTCGCTGCTTTTTAGACCCTCTGGTGACTTTCTTTTTTTCTTTTCTCAAAAAAGTCACTAGTGACTTTTTTCCTGTCTTGTTGTTTTTCAAATTTCTCATTTGGGCCACAAACTTGGTCACTAAAAATGGTTAGGATCTTCTTAAATCTGCTATTTATAAGCCAACTATCAGGTTCATTTCAGACGTGAAATGATATTTTTGGTTGTCTGTAGGATTTAATCTAGAAGGGTCACTATTTCCTCATCTTTACCAGTAACTCAAGGACTTTTAAACCTGCTGGTCCAA